CTGTTATGAATAACAGTTACACGGTCGACAGCCCCTTTTAAGATAGTCAGAGGTGTCAGACAAGGCGACCCATTATCCCCTTATTTATTCATAATTTGTTTGGAAATCCTTGCTGCGAATATACGTCTTAATAAAGATATTCAGGAAATAATGGTGGGAAATGAAGAGATAAAACTCTAGAATATTTGCTGACGATATGACTTCATTGATCAGAAATCACGCCTCATTAGACACCTTTTGAGCGTGGTAGATAGCTTCTCTGTGCACTCCGGACTAAAAATAAGTATGAAAAGACTGAGGTATTGTTTTTGGGAAATTGTCAAAAATCAACAACGGAGACTGTCATATCTCTTGCCAGCAATATAAACATCACACTTAAAAAAGCTATTAAGATTTTAGAAGTTCCCTTTTAAAATGATCAGACTCTGTGGAGAAAGTTAAATTTTGATGAGATTGTGAAAACTATAAAGGAAAGCTGTTGAAATGCTGGAATTGGAGAAACTTAACGGTCCTTGGGCGTATAATAAAATCTTTTGTTATTCTGGTTTTTATGCAAAGGGTTGGTCTAATTTGTTCACATAAGGAGATTGTTAAGGAAGTTGATAAAAACATTTTTAATTTTATTTGGAAAGGAAAAGATAAAGTGAAACGCTCTGCATTAATAAGTGACGTTGAACACGGAGGTGTAATAGCACCACATTTGGAGTCAATTATTAAAGCACAGCGAATTATGTGTTGTAAAAGATTCGCTAGTTCTCAGCAAAGCAGTTGGAAAATAATTCTTTTGAATTATCTAAAACAGATCGGAGGAAGATTAATTTTAAGCTTTTAAATTTTTAACGTTAAAAAACTTCCAATCACCTTACCCAAATTTTATGTAGAATACAAAGCTTTTCTGAACACTCTGCGTCAGTAAGGGAACAACTTAATCTGAGTAACCCTTCGAGATCTAGCACAGTTATATGATATAACAGAAATATTCTAATTGACGGCAAATGGGTGTTTTATCATAGCCTTTTTGACAATTAAGCGGGTCATATTATTAAAGCCAAAAAAACTCGACCTTGAATTAGAACAAAAAATTAAAAGAAATAAAAGAGGACATAAATTTAACATCTGTAACCTTTACAAGCCCTTCATTCCGGGGACTAAATGCACGAAAGACTTAAAAATCGCGCATATATACATCAAGTAATCAAAACCGTGTGTTCTCTGCTGCATAACTCGTTTGATACCAAAATAGTTTGGCGAAATTGCCGTTTACAAATCATCCTATCCGGTGTACTGTAGAAAGTCCGTAGCGCTGGGAACATCGACAATATTTTAGCTTCAAATGAAAAGGAACTGGTTTATTACAACACAAAGGTGATAATGAGGTTTTAGCCTGTGTGGCAGGCGTTCGAAAGGGAAGGGGAAGGGAAAGAAGGCGCGAGACAACGTGCGAGGGAGGAGGGAGGAGGGGAACGCGTTCCTTTCCTTTCTCCCTCGCGCGCCCCACACGCTCTCTCGCGCGCCCAAATCCTCCCTTCCCCTTCCCCTTTCAACGCCGGCCACACAGGCTAATGAGGTTTCAGCAGTAGCGCGGTTCACAGTAGTCTTACGGCTATCACGGTACGGGCAGTGGGAGAAATAGGGCTTCGATATATCCTAATTCAAACCGTTGTCTACGGAAAATGAAGATGTTAACGAAGAAAATGCAAATCCATTTATACTAACAACTCTAGTAGGACGGGTCAAATTACACCTTCATTTACGTTAATTTTGATGGCCATTTTTATATCTTCATGTCTGGCTACCCCTTCCTTGATGGATGAAAATGCTAGTTGGTGAGGATGAAAGTCATTGTCTATATATTAATAAATATTTGGAACTTTTTAGTGACACGTTTTACTCAGAGAGAGGGATACCCTTGTAGGAATAGGCAAAAAAATGAGATCACATCAAGCCTTCCCTTTCAGTAACCACTCTTTTCTCTATGCGGTTGAGACATTTGCGGTTAACGGTATATTTTGGCTTTCATGGCTAACGGCAGGAGCCGGTTGAAGTTAAATATCTCTCCGCTGCAATTAAAAGATAATTTAGAAACTCGATTATTGATTTGAAAAAGTTTAAAGTTTTCATCGGTTGAGGCCCGCTCTAACGACCTTTCAGGGCTAGAAAAAGCGGCTAATGTGTCAAATAGAGTCCAGGAGCATCGAAACAAGACACAAAGGAAACTCGCAAAAAAGAATTTTGCAACTATCTCCATGACAAGTTGCAGCTAAATAATAATAATAATAATAATAATAATAATAATAATAATAATAATAATAATAATAATAATAGTGATAATAATAATGATAGAAACTTGAAGCAGTTTAAATGGTTTTAATTCAAATGAAGAAAGAAATTAACTCAAGGATCGGATGGAGGAGGTGACTGACTGTCCGTCTCAAAATGAGTGATTGTCTGATTTTGAAGCATCCACCATGCATTCAAAAAACCAAGGAAGGAAATTAACTGATAATCTTTTTTTTGTTCAAAGTGTTTACGAAAAAAGTCAACACTCTCCAAGCCCGCAGTAAAAAACAAACAAGCATACAAACAAAACAAATGAACCTCCAAAAGGCCTAAATTCTGCAACAAGTTTAATTCCCAGCTATAGTATTCTTATTATATTTGATTACAAGTGAGTTTAACAACTCTGTCTGCGCATAACGATGAAATCATGCAAAAATAAAAAAAAACGAAAAAAAACTTATTTTCAAATTCTAACAACTCCAGAAACGAATTCTTGAATCCAACGTAACCAAAACTAATTCCTAGAACATGCCTTAAACACAGAGAGACTTTTTTTCCTCCTTGATGTTGTCTTGACTTTTCGCTCTTTAAGCTTGTTATTTATTTGGCGGTCACAGCTGGAAACGGAGAACCCCGAGCAGCAGCCTTCTCATACACTTCCACCTCACTGAAATTATCGTTGTGCTTCAAAATCTCAATGCGGTGGTCTATAAAGTGATATGGCGGCAACTGTATACCTGCAGGATTCTTAGCTCTACAAAAAAGAAAAGAGCTGAGATCAGCACAAAACAGTACTCATCAGGTTGCGCCAGCACGTATCTTAGCCGAATATTACAATTACCAAGTTAACAGCTTCCGATGTCTTGATAGAATTTTGTTGCGAAAACCTTATTATAGAATAACTAAATAAGGTCGCTTTGCAAAAGTCAGGATCAAAATAATTTGGAAATGAAATATTAGTCTTTCCTTGAAATCGGTTTTTACTAAAGCCCATCACATCCGAGCATGTCATTTAGGAATAAACTTATGTGGCTGGATAGCCCTGATTAATAGACTAATTCTTTTGACGAATGCATTGGTCTGGCTAGCCAGTTCTGACAAATGGTAAGCGCCCTAAGATAGAATGCGCGCTCTGATTGGCTGCAGGCTTCTTGGCATTGAGGGAATATAACAACAGTCGTCAAGATTTTGCTGCGCGCGCGATTATCCCTTAAGCACGTACTAAAGTGGAACCTCCATTTAATGAACCCCAATATAACGAAGTCCTCGGAATAACGAAAGAAAATTTATATAACGAAGTCCTCGGTATAACGAAAGAAAATTTATATAACGAAGTCCTCGGTATAACGAAAGAAAATTTATATAACGAAGTCCTCGGTATAACGAAAGAAAATTTATATAACGAAGTCCTCGGTATAACGAAAGAAAATTTATATAACGAAGTCCTCGGTATAGCGAAAGAAAATTTATATAACGAAGTCCTCGGAATAACGAAAGAAAATTTATATAACGAAGTCCTCGGTATAACGAAAGAAAATTTATATAACGAAGTCCTCGGTATAACGAAAGAAAATTTATATAACGAAGTCTTCGGTATAACGAAAGAAAATTTATATAACGAAGTCCTCGGTATAACGAAAGAAAATTTATATAACGAAGTCCTCGGTATAACGAAAGAAAATTTATATAACGAAGTCCTCGGTATAGCGAAAGAAAATTTATATAACGAAGTCCTCGGAATAACGAAAGAAAATTTATATAACGAAGTCCTCGGTATAACGAAAGAAAATTTATATAACGAAGTCCTCGGTATAACGAAAGATTTTCTTTACCCAGTAATGGTGAAATACATCAAAAAGGACCTCGACATGACAAAACCTCGTTATAGCGAACATGTTTTGCCAGTCCCTTGGCCCTTCAATATTTCGAGGTCCACCGTAATTTGAGAAATTTAACTGGCTTATTTATCACTTTCCTCAACTGCTTAAGGACGATCTTTTCAAACATGCTGCATCGACGTTTTTCTGCTTATGGTGACGTCTTTAGAAGGGCACCCAATTCTAAACTGCCTTTTTCTGCAAGATATCTACTTCAAGGAGAAAATATTCCGTAGAAATGTCTAAAGCTCGAATATTAAGGCTACCAATTTCGGGATAATCGTACCATCCACCTAAAATATTGAAAAATGTTTGATTACCAACTCACCTAAGATTTTCGGAAGTACTGTTTTTCATTTTTTATTACCAAGATGTTTCGGTTATTGTCTAAAAAGGCCTCCTTAAAATTTTCTGTATGAACACAAGACGTCACCTAGAATTATCTACTATATACGGCTACTCCATGCCCTCGAAATTTCGACCGGATCCATCATGGCTAGTGCAGCTAGCTGTTCGGGGTGAGATGAAAAAGCCACCAAAAACTTTCGAAATGAACCAAACGTTCCCCTAAGACATCTGAACACTAGATTAATAGTTGTACGGCAGCTCCAAATTAACCAAACAGGCTCCTAAAGCCTATAGACACTTAATTTTAGACACTTCTGACGTATTAGGAAACAATCTGAGTCTTTAGGTGCCGCTGAACATTTTAAGCAAGAAAAATTCGTATTTTGATGACAATTTTTTTTCTGCAAAACAAGAGGTATACCAGGCTATGCAAGCAGCAAAAACGTTTTTTATTGCTTACGTTAGATTCACCAAAACACTTAAAGACGCAAACACTTACTTGTAAATGCTTTTGAAGTTACATCGGTAATCGCTACCATCTTCAAGCAACAAGGCGTGGTTAATATCACCCTTCAGTTCCCCACCATTCATGTACATCGTCTCAGTGGATGGCTCCCATCTCAAAACGTTCTTGCGCATAACTGGACCATCTTCTGGAAACTTCCCAGTGAACAGAATCTTATAAACAAAACAGCCCTTGTCCTCTTTGTCCAAGCTGACGAAAGAGGGGCAAGATTTACTAAGTGTGCGCGACAATGCGACTAATAACATTGTTAGTTAGCAACTTATGTACTACATAAATAGAAGATAAAAAATTCGGTTTTTTTTTCCTTTTTCGTTCTTTATATGAAAACTATTTTGAAAAAGAGCCCTACGCAGTTCTAGTTTAAAACAGAGTTTAAAAAGAAAGACACTATCCAGTAATAGCAGAGCATGAAAGCACGCATGAAAGCGATTATATATCAAAGATGAAAACGACTTAAACGATCGACTTAAGTACTGAGCACTGCAGGTTTTATATTTTACTAACCTGATGACGCTTTTAACTTCACATGTGCCTCCGTCTGCAAATTCCATGGTTCTTTCCCAGGAATACCCCTCAGGAAAAGTCTGCTTGAAATAGTCTGGTATCTCTTTGGGGTATTGGGTAAATGCCCTGTTGCCGTACTGGAACGCGTTTGTCAGAATATCGTAAGCAAAAGGAAGAGGTCCGCCACTTGTAACTTTGAGATTTATAGTTTGTGTTCCACTTAAAAAAACATAAACAGGAAATCAAGGTTGTATAAGAAAACGTAAAGAAGACCGCCCTTGGCAATTGTAAGTTTTATACAGTATACATGTTTCCCTAAAAAAAAAAAGACATGAACGGGAAATCAAGGCAGAGTAAGAAAACTTAACGTACACAGGTCCGCCCTTTGACGGCACGATTTACAGTGTGTGTTCCCCTAAAAAAAACATGAACGGGAAATCAAAGCTGGCTAAGAAAACGACGAATTCATATGCAACGCATATACGACCGCAATTAGGCAACAGTTCAATTTCAAGTAAAAGTCTTATTTCGCTTTTAAAAGGCCATAACTCAAGGTTTCAGAACCGCTAAAGGCAAATTGTTTTCTTAGTTAATTTAATCGTAGCTTTCTTTTATATCCTAAAATATTGCCGTATAGTCTGAGTTAATGACTTTTCTTGTTTTTATAACTCAGATATTTACATTGAGACAGTCCTACTGCTTGCTTGGGAAAATGCACATTTAGCAACATGGCTGAATCAGATGATAAGGTAAAATGGGAGGGGTGTTCATAGTCTAATCACACCACAGAGGGTGTGTCGTTCAATCTCATAAAACGTTACATAGAGGGACAATAAAGGGTCTGTTTCAAGTAAATTCTCCCTGTGTTAAAAAAAAAAAACATACAAAACTGAGCTCGCGATCTAGCATTTTTAACTGAAGAGAAAAAAAACCTTCTAGTCGTAAATTCTTTTAAAAGAAATATGGCAAGGATAGGTAATTTTTAGTTATCGATTTCTTAGCCAGGTCAGGAAGAAACTTTCTTAAAGGTTTTTAGTTCTTTGCCATAACGATCATAGGCTAGGAAACAAAAACAGCATGTTTTGTTCTGCAGTGCTATGTCTTAAAGTCATAGGATCAGGTCAGACACATTTTCGGTGGTTAATCTCTTACACACAAGCAAAACCTAAAATGTATACTGAAAGCTCTTCTGAACAAACTAGTTTGAAGCAAAGAGGTCAGAAGCCTGCGTACCATGATTTAACATTTTTTTAAAAAAATTACTTACTCGTAAGGCGTTCCTTTTCCATTTCCTTCAATCGTGAACTCGTGCCCGTTAACGTTACCGTTCATTGTAAGCTTTATCTTCATGTCTCGTTTTACGCTTGTTATAGTCTGCGGAATGTAAATAATTTTGGATAAACTAGATCAGTTAAACGTCAAGAACTGGAAGTAAAGTTGAGTCTTGAGCAAAACAAACAATAAGAATTAATAAAATACATTGTAAAACCTTTTCCCGTCCAAAACTTACCATAATGGTAGACTTGAAGTAAGACTGGGATAAACCTTACAGCTCTTGTTGTTTTCGATCTGCTCTCTTCCAAATCACCAGGGTGAATGGGACCTCAGCTTTGAGAGTGCTGCTATAAAACTGAATGTCACACCCCAAATTTCCTTCAACCAATCACGAACCAGAAAGCCTTTGAGACAAAGCTAACATTATATATGCTCAGAACAATATGTCTATCATACCATATCTAAATACCTATGCAGCATATCGCCCCATGTAAGGTAATCCAAGAGAGTCTTGGATTCCGGATTCCACGCTGTGGATTCCGGATTCCATGCCTGTGGATTCCGGATTCCACATCCATGGATTCCGGATTCCATAAGTGGCTGGATTCCAGATTTCAAAATTCTATTTTCTGGTTTTCAACGTTTCCTTTGTACTTTGTTTTCACCAAAAAAGCTTGTTCTTTTTTTACCCAAAGTGTACATTGTCTTATATAAAATATAAGTATAAAATATAATTCTTGGCCTTACCCGAGAGGATTATGAATATAGGAGCGGTTTCTGAAGTCCACTGAGTCCACATCGTTGAAGAAACACTAACGAGGAAGGGCTATTCTTATTTTAATAATAACAACGGCGTCAACAATAACAAAAGAGGTACACATTGCCAAAATCAGTGCTTTTCAGGTTCAAAGATAATTCGTCTCCGAATTGTTTAATTGCCACACAGAAATGTAAAACTTCAGTTACAGCTTACCAACAAATAGCGTGAAGATAGTCCAATTACTATACTACAAGCTACGCAGGCAACGGAAACGTTTATCTCAGAATAAACCGTGTCGTTCTCCGTCCTGATAAACTAACTCCCGGCAGTCTTATCGGGAGGGATACTTCTCCCTCATCCTCTGCAGTTGGTGGTGCAGTTTCATTCTCATTGTCATCATCGTCACCGTAGTCCCCATTAGCAATTCGACAGAGCCTGTTATCCTCCTCTGTTGTTAAAATGATGTCTGATCCATCGGAAGAAAAGTCGAGTACTCGGGTTAGAATGCACTTGGGGGAATTCCCATTACAGACATCACCGGAGGTGTATGTTAGTGAATCACTTGTTTGGTTTAGCCACTTTAGGGATACTCTTTGCTGCACAAAATTTCTACCATTCACTTCTATTTGTACATCCTCCAGAAGAACTGCTAACCAGAAGGGTGAGATCTCTCTTCTACGGTTGTGTCTTACTGCCAGTATGTCGTCTTTCTGGTAAATGGTTTGCACCCGTACAGCAGTACTCCGCAATGCCACATTAGCATCCACAACTTGGCAGGCTGTTGTTACGTCTTCGCTTTCCTCTAATGAGGCTGTGATGGTAGTGGGACACATACTAAGGGCATAAGGAAGGGTGCCAGTTAGCTCTTTCGTTTTTGAGCGGACATTTTCCTGTCTTACGCCTCTTCCATACTCCTTAGCAAATTCTCGCATCACAGTTTCTCGCCTTGTGTCTTCTTCTTTGCTACCTGTTCCTTCAGTGATTGCTGACAGCTTGTTTGGTCGCGTCTTGATGTTTGGGGGTTCACCTTTGATAATTTTCTCCGGATAATATGAATTGGGCCCAGTGAAATATGAGAAATCCTTCTGGTAAATGCGCAGCATATCGTCTTCTACGCAGCGCGCTCTTCTGTAAGCGTAGTTAGCCACTGTAGGCATGTCGTGGTCTGCTCGCATTCCTTTGAAATAGCATTCCACGCCCAAAGTAGTCATACTTTCGAAACAGATCCTGTGCAGAAGGTGACTATGCCCAATCTCCGCTAGCGTGTTGGTAAGGCTGGTCAGCGATTCTAGCACTATGAGGAAGGACTGTCGGGTGCATCGAGGTATGGTCATGTCGGGACCGTTGGTATTTCGCTTGCCCGTCCTCTCCAGGGCTTCCTGTTCGTGGTTAGAGAGAAATGCAACCAACTCCTCGACAGATTTCACATGATCTTCAAATGTACGTGGTAGGTCTTCTTCTTTGGCTTTCTTGTCGAGTCGGAACACGTTTGCATATTGGGCCATCTTACTTTGCAGGGGGATCAGTCCCTTTGCTGACGTCAACATTCTTATTGCTACGTTACCGGTATCGCATACGAAAACAGTGTTTCGATATACGCATAAAGCAGTAGGCTTGTTCCATCGACTTTGGACACCATCACGATGGCCTGCAGTTTCTCCACACACTTTTGTTAGGGTTTCTTTACCCCCAAGCATCTCTTCTTCCTTCAAACTGAACAGTGCGTGTTCTTTGCTGGAGGACAAGAACACGGTTCCACCATCTGTCACTGCAATACCCATGAGGCCTGGAATATTCGAAATTGTTCTCAGTTTCAATCGTCCTCTCACTTGACAAAGATGAATACATGAACCATTCCCGTCTCCAACTAACAAGTATTGCTCGTCACGTGTTAAGGCTAACGAAGTTAATAAACTAGATCGATCAAAACAAAACAATTCATTTAACTGGCCGACGCAGTTAGTTTCCTCATCGTCTACAACACCTGAAAAAATCTTGCCAAGACCAACGTCTGACACAAACAGTTCAACGCTACCCTTTGCAGACGCACATATGGCAAATGGTGACACCAGATCCGGTACATTACCTTCAGAAATAAGGGAAAGATCGTGTACATGGACTTTACGGATACGTCTACCGGCGCAATCTTCTTCCTCACTTTGGCTTTCTTCGGCGCTCCCTTGTACAATCTGGGAAGCGTGACAGAAAAGCGTTCGCAAATTGACTCCTCTAACTCTTCCGTTTCCTTGGTCACAAACGTACAGCTTCCCGCTCTCTTTCACCGCAATACCAGCTGGGTTTCTAAATCTGGCCTTGTTGCCATATCCATTAGTGTGCCCGGGCTCACCACCACCAGCGATTAATGTGACATTTGCTGGACAGTGCATGTCAACCATGAAGACTGCATGGAGACGTCTATCGGTAATAAACAGCCCGCTGTGCTTTGGGGAGAATGCCAATCCTACCGGGTAGCTTAAAAGAGAGGCCCTGTTTTTTTTCCAGTGCTTGAATTCCAGTTCTGGAACTAATGTTGTGCTCACTCTTTCATCTGGAATGGAATCTTGAATCGCTTTCCGGTGAATCTCCACTGCTGTTTCTACATCCATCCGATCTTTGTTTCGAACTGCTTTCAATGAAACTGATTTCTTGATGTCTTCGTATTCTCTACGTATCCATCAATGTCAATCCAATGCCAAAACTCTGGAGAACGTACTGACTTGATGTTGTGTGGGCAGTCAGGAATAGGGACTTGGTAGGGGTACTTCGCCCTGTCTGCTAGCATGGAATTCATAAAGCTCTTTTGCTTGGGATCGCAGTCAGTGGCCCAAACCAATAGGAACAGTCTTGTGCATACTTTATCTTCTCTCATGCACAAACTACAATGGCGAAGAAGACCTTTTCAAGCAATTTCCGGAGCTCTACGGTGAAGTAAATTCGATAATTTACTTTGGATTCACTTTGGTATGTTCGTTTCATTGATCAAATGCTCTATTTAATTAGCATGTCTGTAAATGGTATGGAAACGCTGTCACCTTCGAATATAATTTTGATCACAGAAACGCTTCAGTAAGTGTTCGCACAACCACCGCTTTTTGAGCAGAAAACACGAATAGAACAAACAACGACAACTCCACAGACCTTGAACTTTTCTTTTCTTTCTCCGCTTTTCTCTCTTTCTTTCTTGGACTTCTGTACATAAATTTGCAAGATAGTTAGCTCATAATTCTGAACATGATAGAAACAGACAGATATAGCTGCTCGAAGTTTTAGATTACTGTTTCACACATTCTGATCTATTCAAAACCACGCCGCCAAAACATTTCCTTCACAAAGTCACAAATACCGAATTTATAGACGTACGTACCTTTCCGACTCATGCTTTTTCTTGTGCTTCCCCATGCTGACAAAGATTGTTAACGATCGATTGAGAAAAAAATTCAAAGTGATCTCTCGAGATGTCTGATTTCGACTGATTGAATCTGGACTGAATGAAAGACACCACGTCGACACCACGTGCAGCATGTCATTCTTTGAGTGACACTGATGACATGTGCCTGAAAGAAGCCAGTAACTGCAACCACCGCGACTACTGATACTGCGGCCAAGAATAAGGATACTTTATATTATTATTCTTTTGACGTTACCTGAAATCCAAAAATTAGTTCCAATTGCGCCCAAACAGGAAAGAATCTAAACCTCCGACTCCAAAAGCGCAACGGGGAAAAAGGTCGAAAGGGTGTCTTATAAAGAGCGATAATATACAGTAATATGAATCACTCCCTGGGATTCTGTCACGTCATTATAATGTGACCATTGTTTCAAATTGATACCCGATATGTCACAATGACAAGGGATGTTCCTGCGAGTGAAACACGCGCGAACATGCCTGTTGCGCGTCCTTGCGACATGAGATTTTCACGCAACAGTCGCTAAAGGAAAAGAAGAGGCCCTGGAACCATCACAACAGAGTGGATTCCAGCAACCTGGATTCTGGATTACAATGCTTGGATTCCGGATTCCTTTAGCTGGATTCCGGATTCCAAAGCCGTGGATTCCGGATTCCACAGACCAAAATTACCTGGATTCCGGATTCCGGATTACCTTACATGGGGCGAAGCATAAATATCATCAGCCACAAAAAAGGGGGTTAAACTTGCTGACCTTGTATCATCTTGTATGCTTCAGTAAAATCACATGACTATGTAGAGCCGCAAAAGGAATTCGGGATAGTGATTTGTGATAATTACGGAATTAAACGCCTGGTTTTCAGACAATGACACAGAAAGGCGGAATTCAAAGGTTTCTCAGGATGGTGAGAACATAAATTATCCTGATAATGATTATGTTGTTAGAATTTGTTCCAGTCTGATGTAAGCAGTCTCCTCCCCTTTTTGCCATTTATCCACGGTAAACACGAAAACAGTTCACTTTTGAAAAATCTTATTAACACAAGCTGAGAGAGCATATTAAAATTACGTAACCTGAGATTTTCAGCCGTATATCTCAAAAGTAGCGATTAGAACGGCCGCCGAAAGTTAGACGCATTTGAATGAGAAAAACAACTTTTGCCACCCAGCCGCGCTTGCATGGTTTTCCGTACAAATCCTTGTAAATTCTAAATTTTTTAACTAGTGCTGAGGGAAATATTTCATGTGTGTTTTAAAAATTTCGAAATTACAAGGAAATTAAGAAATTACAAATGCCTCCAACTTTCGGCGGCCGTTGCAATCGCTACTTTTGAGATATAGGGCTGAAAATTCTCAGGTTACTTAAATTTTTAGAGCATTCGCGGAGTCGGAGAGGACGGACGTTTTGTAAGCAGCGCGAAATTCGACTCCTCAAATCCAGAATTTCGTTGGGTTCCTGTCCTTTTTGCTCTTGTTTTTACTGTCAAATTGCTTGCTTTGTTTCAACGTCCATAATGTCGGCAAATTCGAGGAAAAACAAACGAGGTGACCGGGGTTCTAGCTCAGGTTCTGCTGAAAATTCCGCCAAGAAGCCAAACAGGAAGGAAACCGAGGAAGAAGGTATATTCGGCGACGAGGACTCCTCTGAAGAAGAACCAACTCTGCTGGAAATTAAACTGATGCTGTCATCTATGCAGTCCTCAATTACGAGCATCTCGAGTGAAAACGTCAAATTTAGAGAAGACATGGAGGAGCTAAAGAAGTCGCTGAGATCCAATGAACGTGAACTCAAGGAGCTTAAAGCGTCTCTTGATAAGGCTAACAAGCAAAATGCTCTACTTCAGAAAGAACTACTTGGGACTAAAACAAAACTAAACGAGCAGACGGAAACGATCGACTCGTTGATTGAATCGCTTGATAACCTCGAGCAATATTCGAGAAAAAATTCCCTCGAAATACATGGTATCCCGGAAAATATTTACACCTCAACGGAAGAAGTTGTTCTCAAGGTAGCTGAGGCTGTTAATGTCCCTGTTGCTGCGGAGGACATCGAAATGTCTCACAAGTTAAGACGACGAAATGGTATGAAGCCTATAATCGTAAAATTTTGTAGCCATAAAGTCTCAGCTATATAAAGAGTGAACGAAATTGAAGTCAGTAAAGATATCAGATTTATATCCTAGTTACGCCTCAGCAGCAACAAAGCAAAATCGTATATTTATCAACGAAAACCTCACACCTCATAGGGCAGACTTAGTGAGACAAGCGAATGATATGAAGGCTGATGGACTTTTATCAAGTGTTTGGACACTAGACGGAAAGGTCTTTGTTAAGACTTCACCATCAGGTAATCCTGTTAGAATTTACTCTGAAGATGATCTTGATGAATTATAAATGCTTAACAAACATCCATGAAATAAGTACGGGAGGTCGATTTCGCCATAGGCTTAGATTGTACGAAGGTTAGTCTCTTAAGCGTATTTTTCTTAAAAAACTTTTGTACTTTATTAGTTTTTGTTGTAAAGTTAGGTTTTTCTTTTTGCTTTTTCTTATTAATCTATTCTGTTGCTTTTTCTTTGTTTGTTTTCTTTTTCTTGATTAATTCGTTGCTGTTGAGTTTAGTCAACGTAACCTAATATTAGCATAACTATTGTGCATTTAAGTTTAGGTGTAAGATTTTAGGTGATAATACAGTACGACACTTATCAAATTCCTATCACTGAATGTAAGGGGATTACGCAATCATGTCAAACGAAGGGCATTTTCGTATCTAAAGAATCAAAAAGCTGATTTCTATTGTCTCCAGGAAACATTCTCACTGAAAGGAGAGGAAGTCTCTTGGGCTACAGAATGGGGTGGGAAAGTATTTTTCTCACACGGTACAGAACACTCTAAAGGTACTTGCATATTACAGAGACCAAATTCTTTGTTTTCATCTAGCGTCCAGCTTATTGATCCAGATGGTAGACTAGTCATTGTTAAAATTAGGGAAGGCGTTGATTTTTTTTTAAGCCTCTGTGTACGCTCCTTGTGA